CTACGTGTGGATTTGGTGGCCCTTTGCAGAGAGCCGTGTGGATGTGGTGGCCCTTTGCAGAGAGCCGTGTGGATGTGGTGGCCCTTTGCAGAGAGCCGTGTGGATGTGGTGGCCCTTTGGAGCTGAGTGTACAGCCGTGCCTCATGCCTGCAGTGACAGCTTCCCTTGGTGGGACACACACTGTGGGAAACAAAGAGTGCCGATTAAATACACATGAGCACCTAATTAGTCATTCACCTTTACTGTGGCTTCTGTGGGTGAGCTTGTTTCTTAGATTGACACAGAAAGGTGGTGCCCCTGAGTTTAACAATTCAGGGAAATTAAATGGAGGGATGATGAATTTTCTCATTGTAGCACTGGGTGTTCTGCAGTGTAATTGCAGAATGCAATTAATTTGTAACAGCACTGGAGGTAATAAAAACCTCATAAGTGCCAGCAATTAAACATAATTATTTGAATAAATATTATGATAGAGTACCACTGTAAAGCCTGTATTTTCTGGAAACATGGAAAGAGGCGTGGTACTTTCCTGAAAGGCCTAATATGTGTTATTCAGACTGACAAAGGGAAACAAGTTAGTGCTGTTGGAGAAGCTAGCAATCTGATTGGATACAAAGATGTGAAAAGGGACCCTTATAAATACACAATGGAAGGGGAAGCTGTGTTTCTCTGTGCAAGCCATTCACAAATCTCAATGCTGCCGATTGTTTGCAGACTGAACACAGCCTCAGCAGCCATCAGTATGTTAATGTGCTGAACTATTTGCGACAAAAAGAAGTAGAGAGCCTGGCGACGGATCAGGCCGGGTAAGCGTACGTCCATCTTTTAGAGATATGAGAGATGCGAAATCTCTGTGGCACTTTTCCAGGTTGTATACACCGGTTTGATTCATATGCATTTCCAAACCCATAAAACATTTGATTTGGTTGCCCTGTACAAGATTTAGAATGTGAATGCGAAAGAATATTTACACCTTTGTCATTACTTCATCTTCATGGAAAGTTATAAAGTCGCAGGACAAGAGAAATGTGTCAGATGATTCTAAATATGTTTTTTATTTTTTACACGCATGTATTTCTCATGGACATTATTTTATGGCCTTCTATGTAGATTATTTTCTAAAGACTGTTGTGATGATGTATCTCGGTCTTTATCAAATACAGCCGCACCTTTATTAATTTTACGCGGATCCATGTTGTGTAATTATTTCAGAGGAACAAAAATCATTAAAAAAATTACTCGGAATGGGTTTTTGGGGTCACTTAAGAGTGCTGCATAATAAAATGAACAGAAAGAACTTAAAAATGGACACTTCTGTGGAATTCCTGGTTATTCTATCAGAGTATGATGGCAAAGGCAGTAGGATACATACATACACGACAGAACAGAACCTTACTTATCTTATGTTACAATAAATAGAACTTCAGTAAAATCCCGTTATAGTGGACTCGCATATAACGGAATATCGTCTATAACAGACGAGGTCCGCTGGTCCCGGCCTGGCGCATTTATGAACATGCAGAAAAAGCATCGGATATAGCGGACTCACATATAATGGAATTGTGCTTATAACGGACAAACAATTTAGTCCCCAGGGCCACTTTTAGCTGTAGTTTTGTTCGCTATAACGGACATGCAGGCTCCGCCTACAAGGCGCGAGGCGTGCCGGTGATATCCAGCGCAGATACGTAGTCGGGATTATTAATAGTCACTCTCTATAAATAGGCATGGCGTAACAGCAGGCAACACTGATTGGTCTGTGTGGCTGTCCATCACCAAGCACGCTGTGCGTTGGCAGACGACGCTCGCAGCTGAAGGGATGCAGTAAGCAATGAGGTCAAGGTTACTACTGTACCGTACATGTATAACACTTACAGGCCATATATACTTCCAACAGTCAGGTAAAGTTGGATTGCTACAATATAATAATCTATACCACAAGTGTGTCCGCTGGGGTGTGGCATGAGTAAATGGTGTCCTGTAGTTCTGTTCTGGGCATTCAGCAACTCTGGATAGAACGGACTTTGGATATAATGCACTGTTTTGCCAGGTCCCTTGAAGTCCGTTATAATGGGATTTTACTGTAATACCACTACTTTTGTAGCAATGTCAGTAATTTTCAAACACCACAGAAATAATTTAACATACAGCAGCAAAGGTACTGAAAAATCGTTTTAGTTATACTGAGAAGTGAAATTGTTTAAAGTGATAAAGTTATTTCAGAAAAGGCAGCAAATTCACAGCCATCATGGAATGAAAGCCAGTTATTATTATTATTAATATTATTATTATTCTCTATTATTAATAATTGTTGTGCACGACTGCACAGCAGTGCAGTAGTGAGCTCTCTTACCTCAGGGATAAGTGTTGGAGTCCTTGCGTGCAGAGTTTGCATGCCCTCCCTGTGTTGTAGGCACATTGTGATACCATAGCAGGCTTGAGAAGAGAGGGCAGGCAGCTGGTCCCAGCAGACAGCGTCACGGGGAACGTGCTGACAGACGATAGAGCTGCCTGCTCTGCTCAGTGGAACAGATCAATTTTTATCCAGGATTTTGTTTTGAAATCATTCCGTAATAAACATGAAAAGCTATAAGTTACGGATGGATACACGACACACTGTACATCTGAGCACCCATACGTAGGCTGAATATACCCATATGATTGGTACTGATCATTAGAATGGATTAATGATGCAAATGTTAATTGTCTGTCTCACATTGTGGCAATGTGAATATTTCATTATGAAATTGAACATACTTTATCAAATGTTTCATCAAACATATGTTCAGCTTGTTTCTTTTTTAACCTTCTAAATTTATAATTAACCTCGCCGCAAAAGGTTAAATAAAAAATTGCTATGTGTCATTTATTTGGAAAGAATACGTCTTTTGCCTTTCATATGTCATATGAATAATTATCTTCATAATCATTTTCACTCAGAAACCAGCTTGATCGCTTTAGGCTGAATATTTCAAAGTATTCCAGAAACGATCATTTATAACAAAAATACACCAAAGGTGAACATGAATTCAGTACCTTCATTATGTCAACCACTGCTGTACTCCATTTGTCCACCTTCCAACCAGTCAGGTTCAGTGCAGCTCGGAACTCATCCCAGGCAGCATAGGGCAGAAGGCTGGGGTACACCCTGGGCGGGGTGCCAGTCTATCGCAGGGCACAGGGCTGGGGTACACCCTGGGCAGGGTGCCAGTCTATCGCAGGGCACAGGGCTGGGGTACACCCTGGGCGGGGTGCCAGTCTATCGCAGGGCACAGGGCTGGGGTACACCCTGGAAGGGATGCCAGTCTATCACAGGGCACATACACCTACATGGTCATTCACATTGAGTAATTTACAGTAGCAGCATGTCTTTGGACTGTGGGAGGAACCTCTTATATCATGGGAAAAAGTACAAACTCCACACACAGGGAAAATGTTTGAAAGGCCAATGCTAGAGAAGTGAAGCAACAGTACTGAGGCTCTGTGCCTGCCCTGATTCTGTTCCATTTGATCTACATCAATATTCTAAACAATTCTGTGAGAAAAAAAGCACACTCAAGTATTAGAATATTCTCACTCCAGACTTTTATGTCACATTAATGTCACCTGTACTACTTTGTGTTTGCCATTGTTATAGAAAATGAATGAATGTCAATATGGAGAAAGTCAAATTTTGCATCAACAATAAGAAATACCAGGTTGTTAAATAAAGCTTTTGTGAATATTGTTTGAAGGTGTTATATAGCTGAATAGATGCTAAATTCACTGAATATGAGGCAGTGTTCATCTAATTAACAATCAAACTATTTTATACTCTGAGAGAATGTACATCATAAGAGAAAAGCTTTCACCAATTACTGCTAAATGTTATAAGCAATGCCTGAATGGAACGGGGGGCTGATGATACCATTTATTGTCAATAACGGGTTGAATTATGCATGAGCACACAAAGCAGGGGGAGGGCGGCATCAGCGGAGGCTGAAGCCCACGTTGCAGCTGTTTACATCTCCGGACTTCCTGAGAACTGCTGCTGACATGAGCCATTGACATTTAGAAGTCAGACACATGCACACCCACAGTCAGACTGGAAATAGTCTGCTTAATGGGTTTTGTCATTGTTGTGGTTTCTTTTTTTTCCCGCCTGTAACACTGGGTGTAGGACAATGTGAGGGTTGCATGGAATTCATGAAAATACACGCTCTGCAGGCAAGGCTAATGGAAGCTACTGTGGGTATCTGGAGGTTCTCTGCAGCACTAAACTGCAGCTATATTTGGATGGTGGCTCTCTCTCCTGCATCCTGCTTGCGGCTGTGGTTCTGCTGAAAAGCAAATTTATGCGACCAATCGCTGTCCTTAAGGAAGGATGGTGGGAGATCCCAGAAGGGCTTGTGGCTTCCTTTACCGGAAACATGCATCACCTTTACCAAAGTGCTGCCGATAGAGTGATGCCTTCATATGTTTGATTTCTCTCTCTCGTACCCGCTCTTGTTTTTGTATACTTTTACAACTTGAATTCTAATTATTACCTTAAAATTACAATTCTAAAAATTCCACAAATATTCCAAATTAAATGTGTTTACAAATATTTTTTTTCTTAGTTTTTTTATGCATTTTGATACAAATCCAAAATTTTTCTGAAAACACACATATCTGAGGAGTTTGCAGACAGATGGTACAACTTCATAGCCTTCAAATGAATTTGTAAATTTTAACATTTAATATACCAACTCAAAACAGAGTGTTGGACTATTTGACGTAAAATGCAAGAGTTTTTTTTTAGTAATATCAGCTGGTTTGTCAATGCATCTATCTATCTATTAAAATAAGGATGCATGGAAATTGAGCGCGTTCCTGCCGGAGTCTGAAGCTGTCCTTAGACATTCAAAGTAATTTCTAATATTAATTCCAGAGGACCTCTCCCATTCAAATAGGCTTAGGTTAATTAAGATGATCCTGTCCCACAGAATAATGTCATTGGGAAAATCCTCTCATTTTGCACACATCCTGTTCTTATTATTTTATTAAGCCTAATAAGGTACACTTGTCTCCTCTTTTAAGGCAGTTCTGTTATTGCAAAAATTACTTGAAAATGTATGCAGTTGTGGCTAAATTGGACTTTGTCCCCAAGGTAATATTCAGACTGAGGGCAGGGTGCTGGGGTGGCCTCCGGGACACATCAAATTCAATCTATACTACATGGATTCTGTGACAGAGAAAGAGGAATTTCCCGTGGACACCTAACATTGATCTTGACATCCTGAATTCGTTGCTAGGCATGGTCTGCAGGCCAACCTCCACTAAGCATGTCACTGGTACATGATGGTTAGGATTAGTATGACTGAAGGTATTTGTCATTACATTTGCTGTATATTGAATAATGTAAACTGTGAATTACACACAAAAAAAAAACCCTACAAACTTTAGAAACGGCAAACATATTCACGGGAAAGTTACCATCTGCAAAAATGATAGTAGATATCTGAAACGTGACTTTCTCTCGTGGCTGATTTTATTGTGGCTGCCAGTTGTACATATTGGAAATTCTCGGGAACAAATGAAATATAGTATTGCTGTGGCTTTTTTCTTGCTTTTATTTCTCCTTAGAGAAAAAAACTAAACTATTTATCTAAATGGGACCGTATTGAAATGTATATTTGTGCACCGTAAAATGATTTTAGAAAAAGGAATTCCATCTACCACCACAAATCTGAGTTTGTGTGGTTTTCATGTTATTGCTATACTGCACAGGGTTCCAGCAGGTCAGACAGTGTGTGTGTGTGTGTGTGTGTGTGTGTGTGTGGGGG